TGCGGAGAAAATTCAAGATTTAGCGCATCAATGCCAGTAGTACCCCTATGTGCAGTCAGTCTATACAGCAATGCCTGCAAGCGCCCGCGACACGAACTTCGTATATCGCAGTCTAAAGGTACCTTAACCTGGGTAGTTCTGCACAAACTATACCTTGTTCGGAAGCGTGTCATGAGGCCCACAGGGTGGCAAAAGGACAGGTCCTGAAACCCAGCAGTTGCGGAGAAAGTTCAAGATTTAGCGCATCAATGCCAGTAGTACACCTATGTGCAGTCAGTCTATACAGCAATGCCTGCAAGCGCCCACGACACGAACTTCGTATATCGCGGTCTAAAGGTACCTTAACCTGGGCCGTTCTGCACAAACTATACCTTGTTCGGAAGCTTGTGATGAGGCCCACAAGCTGGCAAAATGACAGGTCCTGAAACCCAGCAGTTGCGGAGAAAATTCAAGATTTAGCGCATCAATGCCAGTAGTACCCCTATGTGCAGTCAGTTTATACAGCAATGCTTGCAAGCGCCCGCGACACAAACTTCGTATATCTCAGTCTAAAGGTACCTTAACCTGGGCAGTTCTGCACAAACTATACCTTGTTCGGAAGCTTGCGATGAGGCCCACAAGCTGGCAAAAGGACAGGTCCTGATACCCAGCAGGTTGCGGAGAAAATTCAAGATTTAGCGCCTCAATTCCAGTAGTACCCCTATGTGCAGTCAGTCTATACAGCAACGGCTGCAAGCTCCCGCGACACGAACTTCGTATATTGCGGTCTAAAGGTACCTTAACCTGGGCAGTTCTGGACAAACTATACCTTGTTCGGAAGCTTGCGATGAGGTTCCCAAGCTGGCGAAAGGACAGGTCCTGATACCCAGCAGTTGCGGAGAAAATTCAAGATTTAGCGCCTCAATTCCAGTAGTACCCCTATGTGCAGTCTGTCTTAACAGCAATGTCTGCAAGCGCCTGAGACACGAACTTCGTAAATCGCGGTCTAAAGGTACCTTTACCTGGGCAGTTCTTCACAAACTATACCTTGTTCGGAAGCTTGTGATGAGGCCCACCAGCTGGGAAAAAGAACAGGTCCTGAAACCCAGCAGTTGCGGAGACAATTCAAGATTTAGCGCATCAATGCCAGTAGTACCCCTATGTGCAGTCAGTCTATACAGCAATGGCTGCAAGCTCCCGCGACACGAACTTCGTATATCGCGGTCTAAAGGTACCTTAACCTGGGCAGTTCTGCACAAACTCTACCTTGTTCGGAAGCTTGTAATGAGGCCCACAAGCTGGCAAAAGGACAGGTCCTGAAACCCAGCAGTTGCAGAGAAAATTCAAGATTTAGCGCATCAATGCCAGTAGTACCCCTATGTGCAGTCAGTCTATACAGCAATGCCTTCAAGCGCCCGCGACACGAACTTCGTATATCGCGGTCTAAAGGTACCTTAACCTGGGCAGTTCTGCACAAACTATACCTTGTTCGGAAGCTTGTGATGAGGCCCACAAGCAGGCAAAAGGACAGGTCCTGAAACCCAGCAGTTGCGGAGAAAATTTAAGATTTAGCGCATCAATTCCAGTAGTACCTCTATGTGTAGTCTGTCTGTATACAGCAATGCCTGCAAGCGCCGACCACCGTTGGAAAAACCTAACTATTTTCAACTACTGCTCCAAATTTACGAATTTTTTTTTCAGTCCAAATTTTGTTTGCTATTGGTTACATGATCATGAACGGGTGCAGGCCAGTTAGACCCTGGTTAGACTGGTTCCATTACCTTACAATTTTCCGGCATCTATAAATTGATCCATTTCATCTTTAGTGGAGTCAAGGAACCAGACTGCTTGAACATTTTTGTTTTTCTTGGTTTTTCCAGTATTTTCGAACACAAAAACTTCAAACATGTCAGTGTAATAATATTTGATCTGTTATACTAACCCCTCAAATAGTTCATTTCTGAAAATTACAGCAAAAGCCAATGATGTACATTCCCTTTAACGATGGAACAAATTCATTCCAATAAATCCTAAGCCGGAAATTCCTATTTCTGATGAAAAATGTTTGTTTTGCCTGAATTTTAGCCTCGGTATGAAATTAATTGGGCTGAGACTGTTTCAATACCAATTTATTCGGGGCGCTTATAAAATAAACTTTGAAAGTCATTTCACCCTCCTATCCATTCAGATCTGAATACTTTTGTAATTAACGATGGAACAATATCGTTTGAAAATACGGCTTTCCGTTTCAATCAATGTCAATGGCTGGCAAAAAGCATGATCTCCGTCTTATTATTAAATTAATTGGGCTGTGCTTTTTAACGAACAGATTTTCTCGGTGCGCTTATAAAATCTTTGTTGATCATCTCTTTGAAGGATTGTTAAAAAAATTAAATTTCTGTCATTAACGATGGAACAAATTCATTCCAAAGCCGGAAATCCGTATTTCTGATGAAAAATGTTTGTGTTGCCTCAATTTTAGCCTCAGTATGAAATTAATTGGGCTGACACTGTTTCAGTTCGGATTTATTCGGGGCACGATTACAATACACTTTGGATGTCCCTTAACCCGTGTATGTAATTGGAACGGGACATTTCGGACATTTAGGATGGTACAAAATCATTTCAAAATGGGATATCCGTATTTTCATTGGAAAACCGTTGTTTTGTATCGTAATTATCAATCGTCGGATCAATTTAATTAGGCTGACACTGTTTCAATGCCGATTTATTCGGGGCGCGAATAGAATACACTTTGAATGTCCCTTAACCCTTGTATGCAATTGGAACGGGACATTTCGGATATTTAGGATAGTACAAAATCATTTCTAAATGGGATATCCGTATTTTCTTTGGAAAACGGCTGTTTTGTTTCGTAATTATCAATCGTCGGATAAATTTAATTAGGCTGACACTGTTTCAATGCCGATTTATTCGGGGCGCGAATAGAATACACTTTGAATGTCCCTTAACCCGTGTATGCAATTGGAACGGGACATTTCGGACATTTAGGATGGTACAAAATCATTTCAAAATGGGATATCCGTATTTTCTTTGGAAAACGGCTGTTTTGTTTCGTAATTATCAATCGTCGGATTAATTTAATTGGGCTGACACTGTTTCAATACTGATTTATTCGGGGCGCGAATAGAATACACATTGGATGTCCCTTAACCCCTGTATGCAATTGGAACGGGATATTTCGGACATTTAGGATGGTACGGAATCATTTCAAAATGGGATATCCGTATTTTCTTTGGAAAACTGCTGTTTTGTTTCGTAATTATCAATCGTTGAATTAATTTAATTGGGCTGACTCTGTTTCAATACCAATTTATTCGGGGCGCAAATGGAATACACTTTGGATGTCCCTTAACCCGTGTATGCAATTGGAACGGGACATTTCGGACATGTAGGATGGTACAAAATCATTTCAAAATGGGATACCCGTATTTTCTTTGGAAAACCGTTGTTTTGTATCGTAATTATCAATCGTCGGATCAATTTAATTGGGCTGACACTGTTTCAATGCCGATTTATTCGGGGCGCGAATAGAATACACTTTGGATGTCCCTTAACCCGTGTATGTAATTGGAACGGGAAATTTCGGACATTTAGGAATTAGAATGAAACAAAATCATTTCAAAATGGGATATCCGTATGTTATTTGGAAAACCGGTCTTTTGTATCGTAATTATCAATTGTCGGATTAATTTAATTGGGCTTACTCTGTTTCAATACCGATTTATTCGGGGCGCGAATAGAATACACTTTGAGAGTCACTCAACCCGTGTATACAATTGGAACGGGACATTTCGGACATTTAGGATGGTACAAAATCATTTCAAAATGGGATACCCGTATTTTCTTTGGAAAACGGCTGTTTTGTAAGTTAATTATCAATCGTCGGATTAATTTAATTGGGCTGACTCTGTTTCAATACCGATTTATTCGGGGCGCAAATAGAATACACTTTGGATGTCCTTTCACCCGTGTATGCCATTGGAACGGGACATTTCAGACATTTAGGAAGGTACAAAATCATTTGAAAATAGGATATCCGTATTTTCTTTGGAAAACGGCTGTTTTGTACGTTAATTATCAATCGTCGGATTAATTTAATTGGGCTGACACTGTTTCAATACCGATTTATTCGGGGCGCAAATAGAATACACTTGGGATGTCCCTTAACCCGTGTGTGCCATTGGAACGGGACATTTCAGACATTTAGGAAGGTACAAAATCATTTCAAAATAGGATACCCGTATTTTCTTTGGAAAACGGCTGTTTTGTACGTTAGTTATCAATCGTCGAATTAATTTAATGGGGCTGACTCTGTTTCAATACCAATTTATTCGGGGCGCAAATAGAATACACTTTGGATGTCCTTTAACCCGTGTATGCCATTGGAACGGGACATTTCGGACATTTAGGATGGTACAAAATCATTTCAAAATGGGATATCCGTATTTTCTTTGGAAAACGGCTGTTTTGTACGTTAATTATCAATCGTTGGATTAATTTAATTGGGCTGACTCTGTTTCAATACCGATTTATTCGGGGCGCGAATAGAATACACTTTGGATGTCCCTTAATCCGTGTATGCAATTGGAACGGGACATTTCTGGCATTTAGGAGGGTACAAAATCATTTTACATTTATTATAATACCTGCGTACGTACGTGTCATAAAAGTATCGTAGAGGGCGCTAAACAACCATATAGTTTGGGAAAAGAAAATCGCGGCCGGTTCCTGTTTAAACAGGATTCTCATGCCTGGGACCCGGTCCTTTCCGCAACGCAACACTACTCATTACAAGGAGTAGTCTGGCGGATATAGCGCCCTCTCATCGGCTATAAGGCAGAACCTTAATTCAGTAACGTTAACATTTATAACATTAACATTCCCGATTCTGAAAATATATTGCCACAGTCTTCATTACAATTTACTTTAGAGTCGAATAAACAACAGTTTCAGTTATTTAAGGTAATCCACCGTGATAAGAAGTTGAACTTCCTTTATAATTCGTTTTCTCCTAAGGTATATTTGCAATGACTGTTTAGGGCCACCGTAGTGGCAATCTTCGCGGCGGCGCGCCACCGTAAAAATAGTGCCTAGCCGAAAATCCGGCCCGATTTTCGTGCCAAGATCAGCCTGGTAACAGGATTTCATTCACAGCTGAGTGCGGAAGCAGCAAGATACAACATGAGTCAGGGTCTTTGCTAGATAGGTTATCGAATATCGGTTACATCGATCGAGGTCTACCTCCATGGATCGCACCACAGAGCAATGAGAGCATCTAGAATCCAAAAAAAAAATTATTTTACTTTCTAGGTGAGGTCACCTTGATAGAAGATAGGAATTCAAGTTTGAACCAAGAAGATCTATTCATGTAAAAAAATACACAACTTTGTCATGTTTTTTTGTGACAGGAATTCATATGTTAAGAACTGTAACAGAGGGAAATTGCTAGTTCTGTTTTTCGAAACTTCAATCCTTAATAAAAGTATATCCAAGTGCAGTAGAAGAAAAGCAAAATGTTTCTGAAAGCTTGGTTAGTCTACTTTCCAAGAAAAAGGATTTACTTGTAGAAAATGTACTTTGAAAATTCATGAGTTTGCAACTCTTATCCAGAGTTAACCATAATTTATGGTTAACTATCATCATCATAATCATTCAATTGCCACTCATATGGCACGGCATACGCTTCAACATAGAATTGGAAATTTCTTTCCCCCAGGATAGGATGCTAGTCTATCGCTGGTTGCTCCCAAGCTAATGCTGGTACCCATTTATTCTCATGGGTGGAGAAGAGGCAAATTAGGATGAAGTGGCTTGCCCAAGGACACAAGATTACATATGACCAGCAGCTGGATTCAAACCCCGGACCCTCTGTTCATGATTCAGGCACCCAAACCCCTTGGCAATATTAACATGCTCCCTAGCCACTATTATTAACCCCAACTCCCTCCAGGGACCTTTTTGCTAGAATCCTGCAAAATCTTCCATTATTTTTTGAATCTGGTCCATGGAGGGGTGATCGACCCCTGCCTGAATCCTGCAAAATCCTGTGGCAGTGCAGTGGCTGTCAACATGTTTGGCCAGTGACATCCTGGAGCAGTACCTAGGATTTCAAGCATAATCCAGGCCTATATATTTATGCATGGCTGAGCAAAAACAACACAAGGTCCAGCCCAAGACCTTGACAAAATGCATCCAACGAAATCAAAATCAGTAACGCACTTTGCCATGTAACCTCAATCCTCCAAATTCCTCCACTTTGGCAAAGAGGATTTTGAAGGATTCAGGGCGGTTAGGGTTAATTAATGTCACATGTGTTTAGAAATCATAGAAGTCATAGGACTGACATTTCAATCTTAACAGAACCTTTAACAACCGATACAATTTTATTCGGTGATAGTCGGAGAAAGTTCACCCTAGTCTCACCCATTTTTTTTTATCAATTCCAGAGTTGAACCACGTACCAGGTCTACACTTTGCCTGCCACAATGAAGTTTGTCACCACACGAGGGCAGGCTAGGGAGTATAGCTTTGAGGAGGCGCTCTTCTCTCCAGGCTACATGTCCGACGGTGGATTGCTCATGCCTAAGACCATTCCACAGATCTCATCAGATCTCTTGAAGTCCTGGTCAACTCTTTCTTTGCCTCAACTGTGCAAGGAAATTTTGCCGCTCTTCATTGATGAGGAAGAAATTAGCAGAGGGGATTTGGGAGGTATTGTTTTGTTTCATCGCTTGGGTGGTTTTATACATTTCTAAAGTCAAGGGAATTATTTTTTAGGTAACTGTCAAAATTTAAATTTTAGTCAAATTCGACTGAAATTTGTCTCGTACTCTGTTATGAAAAACAGGCATACATAGACCTTCAAATTAAGCTTTTTGAGACATTTTCTGATGTCATTTAATTAATATGTGTGAACATGGATCAGTTGTGTGTTTTTCTTAATGGTCTGGTTCTACTTTCATTTCAATGTCACGTTTTGTTGAAAAATGAAAATTTCTGATATATATGGATCTTACAATATCATCGCTATACTACAAAGGGCAATAGATGTGTGTATGTGTGTGTCTTCACGAGTTGATCACCGGCAAAGTGGATGTCAGGGCAAAAAGGCCCCCTTCCCCCTGCGTAGTGGGTCGAGGCGAAGCCTCATTCTCATGTCATTTACATCGTGGGTAAAGTCGAATTTTGCAAATCATTTCTCTTTCTCCTTCTTCACTTTCCAGCTGTGATTGACAAGGCTTACTCCCGTCTCCCCGTGGAGTCTGTGGCTGCTCTGTCCTCCTTCCAAGACGGTCTTAATGTCTTAGAGATGGGTAACACCAAGACATTGGCTTTCAAGGACCTGTCCACATTCGTTATGGCGCGTCTGCTGGATTATTTCTTTAAGAAAAGAGAAGAGCATGTGACCATTGTAGTTGGTGAGTAAACGAGCTCAGAATTTTTTGAAACTTATCAGAGTTGTAACGAGTCACTGATTTTTGTGACTCGAGTCGAGTCGAGTCATTTTAAAGAAGTGACTCGAGTCGAGTCGAGTCATTAGGTCAACAAGGTCGAGTCGAGACGAGTCACAGAGTGTGGTCGAGTCGAGTCGAGTCGAGTCAAGTATTTAGATCGAGTCAATTCGAGTCACAAATATTTGAACACTAAATTACAATAAAAAGCAACAAACACAAGAGAGAAAGAATACAAGGCACCAGTCTATTACGGAAATCCAAAGACATAAAGTATGCTGTATGGTACCCAACCAACAGTTTCCATTGCTAGCTCACGTCACAGAAAAGAAGATGTGAAACTTCGGTCTTATAACTGGTTTGGCTTCGGGTCTAGATATTGTTGTTCGCTGATCGCTGACAACGTTAAAACCTAATTGCATTATACAAAACTGTTTCTGATTATTTAAAGGTGGGCCCGTCCGTATCCATTTTTTGTGTGAAATCGGGACATGAATTTAGCCAGCGTTCCACCAAGAACTTCAAAATCGCCCGAAACCAATGATGAAACCACGGATTGAGAAATGCGTTTTAAGTCTGGTTCCGGGTTTAGCATTACATGCTATAGAACCACAAGGTGGGAGTCCGCGACACGGTGTATGTTTGTTGTTTCATTATGGAGGAAGGAAACAGACTGCCGCTGTATATAAACGTACATTATTCGCGAACATTAACGTGACGTGAACAAAAACTGGCAACGCGAACGGCGCAGCGTAAGTCATTGCAAATATTTTTCGCAAGTAAGTTTTGCTTTTATTTTGGGACTCGAGTCTTATTAGCCTTCCTCGAGTCGAGTCGAGTCATTCGTCATTTGCTCGCAGTGACTCGAGTCGAGTCGAGTCATTTACCCGTCGGGACTCGAGTCGAGTCGAGTCGCCAAAAAATGTGACTCGAGTCGGACTCGAGTCGAGTCATTGACTCGAGTCATTGACTCGAGTCATTACAACTCTGAAACTTATTCATGAAAGATGAATAGATGGTGAAAGACTTAGATGGTGAGGTTTTTTTCATTAGTAAACCCAGGTGTTGTAGTCGAGTACTTTTTCCAAGTAACGAGTACTGCCGAGTACTTAGGTTGCCTAGTACGAGTACTTGTACCTCCGAGTACAAGAACAGGTCTCCGAGTACGAGTACTTGTACCTCCGATTATAAGAACAGGTCTCCGAGTACGAATACTTGTACTTCCGAGTACGAGTACTGTACTTCCGAGTACGAGTACGAGTACTTGTATTTCCAATACGGCCATACGGCAAATGATTCATTGTGCGTAATTGGCCCAGGCCCAGTCAGACCAATATACAGACCCAATCACGGCTTGCTGTTAAATGTGTTTGTCCGGACGTGCTCAGAGGAAAATCAGGAAACTTTGATTTCTCCACAAGCCAATCAACCATTTCAAACTGAAAGTATCGATAAATAAGGCCGTGGTAAGCCGTCAAGCTATACCATTTTTCCCCCCCGAGTATATATACTGATATTCGAGTACGAGTACTTTAATGATCGAGTACAATTTCGACCTGTCGAGTACGAGTACTGTGCTGCCCGAGTACGAGTACCATCGTTTCAAGTACGAGTACTTTGACATTTGAGTAGGAGTACATGTACTCCAAAAAAAGTACTTGAGTAGTACTCGAGTACGAGTACCGAGTACGAGTACTACCAGACTACAACACTGGTAAACCCTCCTATGCAAACATATATTCTGTGCCAAGTTGTCCTTTCATTCAAATCAATCAAGTGACTGTTTTCAACAGTTAAGAGTTCCCAGCCTACATAAAGCAGGATTGACTGGCTATGACTGTTTATGTAACTTGACACAGCTATGCATTGACTGTAGGTGATTGATAAGCCAGCTGTGTCCAAAATTGCGACATCTGATCTGACTGTTGTTGACAAGCCTGTATAAATGACATGGCAGGGGAAGAGGATTGATTTTTTGACTGTCTGTGACTGTTTAAATAGCAGGAGGGTTAAAGCATTATATCCTTAAATCCTCCAAATTCTGATACCTGGGGGTTTTTTTAAAGAATAATAATAAGAAGAAGAAAACAATTCAATATAGGGATATGTCCATCATCAGTGTGACTCATTAAAAGTTGTATACTCAGTGCATGGTTTCTGAGAGTTTGTGAAAAAAGTCAAAAGCTTGCTCGGTTTGGACTCGAACCCACAACCTCCTAACAACTAGTGCAGATGTGCTAATCACTCAACAACTGAGCTTGCCATGGTCAGCTTGCCACTTTGTATCTGTTTTTAGCAGCGAGTTTGACATATTTCCAATTCCTGTTTTTCTCAGGAACGTCTGGGGACACTGGCCCTTCATCTATCGAAGCCGTCCGTGGATCACAATGGATGGACATTGTGGTGTTATTCCCCAAAGGATACTGCACTCAGGTACAGGAGCTCCAGATGACTACCGTGTTGGACGACAATGTTCACGTCTTTGCAGGTAAAACTGAACTTGAATTGTCTGCTCAGTAAACTGGAGCGAGGCCAGTTATGTGTATCTTCTTTGTGATTCTTTACAAGATTCTGTATTTTGAATGAGTCAGCCAGCACCAGTAGGTTTGGTTGAGATGTGGGCACAAAGCCAAATCTGAACCAATATGCAGATACAACGTCCATCACTTTTTTGGTTCTGTTTGTAGGGGAAGGTTCCTCAGATGACATAGATGTTCCAGTCAAAGCCGTTTGCCTGGACCAAGACTTCAAATCACTTCACAATCTCTGCACCATGAACTCCATCAACATGTCCCGCGTCCTCTGTCAGGTCACCGGTTACTTTTACGGTTACCTCAAAGTCTGTCAGAACATTGGAGATGAGGTGGAGATTGTGGTTCCAACTGGTGCAGCTGGACACGTCACTGGTGAGTGGATAGTTGGGTGTATTTGAGCATGGAAAAGTTAAGATGGTTATAGTGTTGGTTCTAGAATACTGATGGCTTGTGGATGTAGAATTCAAGGCACTTGAGGCAGAAAATCAAGGTGCTCCACATGTGGGGCCACGCCACATAATTAGGGGTCGTGCCGCCGTGCCTTATACATACATGGGACTGCAACATTACATGCGTACTAGCCGTTGTGTTTGTAACAAAAAATATGTAATTTAAAAAAATTATTTCTATTTTTTTCAGTCCTCTGACCCTGCAAAATTTCATGTCATGCTCGTAATCCAATAATTTAAAAAATGCTGGCCTTAGTGGTTTAGTCAACATTTCTGCTCAAAGTTGGCACGGATATTTTTCTGACCGCAGCATCACTACTGCAAGTGATCTAAGAGTGAACAGTATGAACTAGCTCAAAATTTGGTACAAAATTCGAATTATTCAGTCTGCATTCGTTGGACAAGTTTGGTAAATGTTCAGAAAATGCACTGTACAGTTTACCCTCTGCCGTGAAATTGGCCCTTAAGTCACGCCCTGTTCATCTTCTTTCTTTTTTTTGGATCAAATACTTGAAGGATTTTCACCATTTGGAACCTGTTTTTCAATAATTTATCATCAAGGTATGAACTTAAATCTATAGTCCATCATTTGCAGCCATCCGAAAAAGTAACTGGCGTATTATTGTTGAAAAACATACTTGGTTGAAAGATAGTAAGTGGACTAAACTCACTGTGAAATTAATCTTTCTGGCAAGCTATCATTTTGAAGTAATCAACGAAAGAAGGCCTTTCCAACGGTGCGTCTTAAGACGCACCATAGGAAAATTTAAATTAGTAGTTCGTTTTGTTATTCGGCGCAGTGCGCGCAAGCATTGCACGACGCTTGGCGCGCGTGGTTGCTATAATTCGTCGGATCAGTGCGCGACATCGCGTATAGCTGGAATTCAAAACAATTCAAAACATGATTCAGCAACTTTTGATTTGAAATTGAGATCCTAGAATGCTTTTTTCTCGGAATATACAGCTGAAGCTGAGCTGAAACTTCATCAGGTTAGTTGTTCATTATCCTTCATTAGATTTTGAACACTTTTGTTGCTTCAAACGAACAAAATGCACAAATTACAAATGATGGACTATATCTTTAAAACAGAGTAATTTAAAATTCTGTCAATACAAGGTGGATGCATTGCATATCACATGGGTCTACCCATCAAGCTAGTGTGTGCAGTCAACAGCAATGACTTCATACATCGTATGCTGACTACCGGTGAACTAGCCCGGGCCCCAGAAGTCATCAAAACCCACTCTGTCGCCATGGATATCCAGGTCGGTAAAATAACTCCAGTTATGCTGTAGACTTCTTGCATACAGAGTATGCCAAACAAGTGCAACATTCAGAAAGCCAGTAATTAAAGCCGTTTAATGTTTTTTCTTCAATAAATTATATATTACATTAAAGCCTGACTATTTCTCAATCCACTTCTTTTTACCCCATTCCATTTGGGTCCCTAGACCCAGAAATACAATCAATTAAGTGAAACGGTGTAAATTTTACTTGGGCCACTCTCACCTGTGATGGCACCAACTTCAATGCCTATTCACTGCTTAACCCAGATTCAGCATGTCCAGGTGAGAGTGGCCCAAGTAAAATTTACACCCTTTCACTTAATTGATTGTATTTCTGGATCTAGGGACCCAAATGGAATGGGGTAAAAAGGAGTGGATTGAGAAATAGTCAGGCTTTAATGTAATATTAATTTAATTGAAGAAAAAAAATCATTAAACTGAAACAGTTTTAATTATTTGTTTTCTGAATGTTGCACTTTTTTGGCACACTCTGTAGAGCGCCCTCACTGACTGTGGAGCGCCCTCACTGACTGTGGAGCGCCCTCACTGACTGTGGAGCGCCCTCACTGACTGTGGAGCGCCCTCACTGACTGTGGAGCGCTGACTGTGGAGCGCCCTCACTGACTGTGTAGCGCCCTCACTGACTGTGCTGCGCCCTCACTGACTGTGGAGTGCCCTCACTGACTGTGGAGCGCCCTCACTGACTGTGGAGCGCCCTCACTGACTGTGGAGCGCCCTCACTGACTGTGGAGCGCCCTCACTGACTGTGGAGCGCTGACTGTGGAGCGCCCTCACTGACTGTGCTGCGCCCTCACTGACTGTGGAGCGCCCTCACTGACTGTGGAGCGCCCTCACTGACTGTGCTGCACCCTCATTGACTGTGGAGCGCCCTCACTGACTGTGTAGCGCCCTCACTGACTGTGCTGCGCCCTCACTGACTGTGGAGCGCCCTCACTGACTGTGGACAGGTCTTTGTCCCTCTGTGATATGTATGAGTAGACACTCTGTTCTCTCATTGTCATGGAATTTAAATAACAAATCCTAGTCCTCAGTAACAGTCTGTGCAGGGGGTGTATATTATTTTTCTAAGTGCAAATATGCAAGAAATCATATTGCATCCAGTAACCACTGGCAAGAGCATGTCCTTTGACACAGTGTTCAAGGAAATGATACGACTTGTATTTCTTGTATTTCAAACAACTCATTTCCTCTTTTATGGCAAAATGAAAGTATAACAATAATTATTTACTCTACTTAGATTAAGCACATGTACACAACATTTTGAGTTTTTTATTATTGGAAGAGGCATCCTAGAGAAACGATCTTTTTACTTGTGGGCTACATAGCTTGGTAACTTAATGTTGTTCCTTTTTTTCTTGACAGAATCCATATAACATGGAGCGCATCTTCTCATTGTTTTCAAACCGCGATACGGCCTTGGTCAAGAAAGTGATGGATGAATATGAGTCTGGAGTCAAGACTACACTTCCAGCAACTTTGCTACAGAAGGTATAACATTGAGACTGGGGGGGGGGGGCTTTTTAAATCAAGGTCTTGATTTCAATATTGATATTTTATTTGTTTTCACCCTCCTTTCGCAGTGGATATCTTTCTGTCTGGACATGCACACTGTGTGACATTGGTTGCGCTTGCTGTTTATCTCACAAAGGATTGTGAGATTTCAACATGTACCTGTGCATCATTTGTCAACCCTTGTTTCAATGGTTCTTGATCCATGACCTCTTGCTGCCAAAATTGCAGCTTCTACATTAGCACTTTCAATTTCATTGTAGCTACTTGTAGCATTTTTAGTTTTTCATACTCCTGTCTTTGTAATTGCTGTTCCTTTAACAGCTGTTCCCGTTTCAGTTTAGCCAGTTCTCGCTTGACTTTAGCTTCAGTCAACTTCATGCTTGATATGCTGGCTCTTGAAATCCTGGATGAAGCCACAGACTTTCTGTCATCTGCAGCAGATGCAGCCTCATCAGCAAATCCGGCCCCGGTGATGCTCCCCTCGGTACCGGCCCCTGTGGTTCCACCACGCGTTGTTCTGGACACTGCCGCTCGAGTCTGTTCTGCATCTTGATGTACAGGAATCGGTGCATTCGTCTCCATGATGAACGCAGTTGCGAACTTTATGTAACCTCTTAAGCTAGTTACATAGACCAGTGAAATGCACGTGTGAACGCACTAACAAAGGAGTCTTAATGAAACAGTCCTCTGGCTTGATTGACTGTTTATTCTGCCTCTTCTTGTCACCAATGGCAGCCCAGTCCTGTGTCAGCATGTGTGGTTCGCTGTAACAATAAACAACAAACTATCAATAATTACCTAACAATGGTTACTGGGCATACTAGCAGATTAATAATCATAACACATATGAACTATACTGGGCAAACACTTGATTTGGTTAACAAATGCAGATTAAATCTTGATCCAAGTCAAATTACTTAAGTTATGCCAGGCTACTTCTTGTCTCATGTACAACATAATTCACCTTTATCGAGGTAAGTGACAGGTAATCTATGCATGCATGGGCTTGATTTAAAGAGAGAAATGCTCAAATGAACCCACAATGAATTAAACAGTATATGCGTGAGGGTAAAGTACGCACAAATCCCCGTTACAAAGTTCCCTGCAGTACTACACACAACAGTCCATGTCGTTTACAGTACATCGCCAAACTTTAACGATAAAACAACCTCAAATTCCTTATTTCCCACTTGCCCATATCTTCCATTATTAATCTATGTTAAGAAGGGAATCCTAAAGTTTCTATTAACTCGCCAACTGTTGCATTCCTTGGGCTTATTTACACAGGATTTTGTGAAATCTTGACCCTTTTATCTTGACATCTGAACGCAGAAGTTTCTAGATCTTGATGCGGCAATGATTTGCCGAATGAGAGCGCGCGCTATAACAGATTTACGCCGTTACAATCGGTTTTTATATAATTTTTCAATTAAGTGTGATGCACATTTTCAGAATTTCCTGAGTTTCCAGAAATCCGAGCTTCTGACGAGAAAATGAAGGTAAGATCAGAGGCTGAACCGAGGATACCCATAGAGAAAGGACAACTGACTGACATTCTATGTGCATGCGACAGGAAACTAGCTGTTCTCTTCTACGAGGCTGGCAATCACGATTTCATGAGTGACCGTCGGGAGACGAGGGCCAAGTTCGGGCAAGGACCATTAGTTGACTAGTGGTTGATTTGTGACGTACCTTACGCCTGCGCACTAATAGCAGTGTGCGAACGTCTCTAGTCGAACGCTGGTCAAAATGTCATTGCAAAACGTCTGGATCCTGGCTCCCTGCTGTACGTTATGAACGCGCGGCTATGGTTACCAGCGAAGCAACCAACCCCAGTAGGTTGGTTCCAAATAGTCGACTAGCGTAGTTAACCATCGTCGACTAGACAGAGTTCGGGCAAGCGTTAGTCGACCAATGGTTAACTATAGTCCTTGCGCGAACTTGCCCTAGATGGGACATTTAATTTAAACGCCCTCAGCAGACCATAGATCGAGTCATGCCAGTCAAAACGTTGCAAAGCTTCTTTTTTTCTGCTCCATGAAATTTGCCTGTTTAAAACAAATCCATTTTAGGTTGAAGAAGAAACCGGCTGAAACACAGCAGCACCGAGATCACGAGCTACTCTGGTCCACCCCAAAATATGGTCAAATCAAGATTTTTCCTTTTCTCTTCAGCAGAACATTCATGACACGGCATTTCGTTTTCTGACATTCTCCTGGTGTTTGTTTTCTCATCAGATGCAGACCGTTCTGTCCTCGGCTTCGTATGGCGATGACGTCATCGTGAAGACAATGCAGCGATGTTGGCATGACCACCGCTACCTTATCTGTCCTCATACAGCCGTGGCCGTCAGTTATTACTTCAGCAAGCTGGACCGGTCAGTTCCTTAGTTGAATATGACTGGTTTCAGTCTGAAATTTGTACATTAGTTTATTTCTACAAACATGTTGTGAAATTTAGATATTTGTTTCCAAACAAAGATTTGTCAGACATTGTTTAAGCACTTCAATGATCTCTTCAGTTCCCAAGAACATTTGCAGAAATCATTGTGGGGGAGGATTACTTTTATTTTTAGGTTGGCTGCCTTCCCCCTCCCCCCCCCCCCCCCCCTCCTCATCCTACTCCTCCCCCCTCCCCCTCCCCCTCCCAATAATAGTTCCAAAGGTATTCATCTAACGGTACAAGAAGTAATCGGTCTAGGTATTTAAAATACTCTGCTGTGAAACTTGTATAAGCAACAGGTATTCTTCAATTTATCTTTCAAAGGAACATGGATAGTGACCCATATTACTAAACACCACAAAAAAGTCCACACTCATTGGAGGGGTCATAATTTTGAGTCTGATCGTCTTATGCCGACGTCATTTATGTAGATCTTTGGGGATGTTGTTAGCTAATTTTGATACTCCGTTTGCTACCAAAGACTGTAAAGCGTCCAAGATTGACAACGGTTTATGAAAAAATGATGCAGTTTGAAAAAATGTAAATTTAAAGATTAAGCGAGGAGACATTGCTAAGAGCGAACACACACGCCCGTAATTGGCCCCTATCGACCGCACAGTGCCTGAACAAAGCGCAGGTCAAGCACTGTGCGATCAATATTCCCTGCCGTTCGTTTCGGGCAGTGTGACATTGTCACGCAGCAGTTTTCATTCGCGTACTCTTTAAACTTGCAACAATTCAAACTGCATCATTGTTCATAAATTGTTGTGAATGTTGCACGGTTAACAGTCTTTGGTAGCAAATGGGGTATCAAAATGTAGCTAACAACATTCCCCAAAGATCTATATAAATTACGTTATCATAAGGCAATCATATAAATCAAAATTATGACCTGTCCAATGAGGGTGGACTTTCTTATTTGCGGTGTTTATATAAGATAAACTGGCAGTGATGCTATGGAAAGGTTTGTGTTTCCACTTATAAAAGTTTTGTCTTCGATTGTTTTATTTGTCCTTCCCATTTTTACAGTATGGCGCCCAATCAGACTCCTCACCAGACAACTGTATGTTTTTCCTCTGCTCATCCGGCCAAGTTCCCTGAGGCTCTGTTAGCGGCTGGTTTGGAGCCTAAGCCCACACCTTACATCAACAACCTGCACACCATGCCGACGCATTACACGGAGATGAAACAAGGACAAAACTGGGAGAAAATGCTGAGGGACAGGATTATTGAGATTGGTAAACGAAATGGAATCGGTCAGTAAAATTGGATGGATTATTGAGTTTATCAGATTTAAGCAAACACCTTTTTTTTTGAATGTCAGTGCTAACAATTCAGGCAATTCACAATTTAGTGCGCCACCAAGAGTTTGCCATGGAGAGTCCATTTTTCAAGGTTACAGTCGACAAAACACGGCCCATTTGAGTGAGTGTCAGTAGACAACTTGAGCTAATTGGTTATAGATTGAGACATATCGTTCTGCCGCCTTACAAAAAACAGACCATATTGATAAAAAGGAAAGAAAAGGGCAAACATATTTTCGAATCATACGCTTACGAAAGTACTGACCGGAAAAACTAACATTTTGAAATGTTCCGCGCTGCGAATTTGTCGACCATCTCCCACAATGCACTGGTAAAAATTATCTCTCTGTGTCAAACTCTTGGTGGCGCACTGCATTGTGAATCGCCCGAATTGTTTAAATGGTGCAATTCAATAATTTAAGACAGCCATAACTTGTACAGGGAGATGCTAATTTCAATACTGGACTTTGCCTTTCATCAATGTACTATGAAATGTTATAAGCTGTCTCAAAATACAATATACAGTAATTAAACTCCGGCTAAGACGGCACTCTCGGGATGAGAGAATTTGTGACGACTTACGCGAATGTCGGCTTCTGCTGCAAGTCGTCATTTTGCCGACCTACACAAATACACAAATTGAATCACAGAGTGAAAAAAATAGATTGAATTAATGGCCTATGCGCATCTGTATCTAGATCATGCAAACAAGATTCATGGCTAAAATTCAAAGGCTTTGATTTACCCTGGTTTATTTCTACATCCATGGTTGATTCCATGATTCCAGCAAATATATCCTCAATGTTTATCATCACAAACAGGCTGTGGTATTGATCTACGTACGTACGAAGCAAGGACGGCGCGGCCAGCTAGCGTTAACAGTGGTACGATATACAGATCGCTTGCATACTGTACGTCCATGTAAATTGTAGTGTACATTGTGCACGTACGTACGTGTACAGTCACGAATTAAATGTGTGCATGGTACTGGTACAATAAGGGGACCCCCAAAATGAACAGAGCGCATGCGTGCAGTCGAGAGGGGGTACTGGTATTGATGTGCTATTGGGAAAACCCCTTTTTGATCGCGCACGTGTAAGCGAACGATGCACACAATAATGTACACTGCTGGACGATGCATCAATCACGGGCCGTGCCATTGATAAACAGATGTCAGTTAGCAGTGTGTGGGACTTTTCACTCCACACTTCTTGCAAACCGCAGAGCACGATACCGACTTATACAGAGGGATTTTTGTGGTTTTGAGGAAATGGGACTGAAAGTAACACGCCGACATAGGTGACTGTAAATTGAATTGGAATCACTTTTTAGTTCTTATGGAAGATATTGTAGTCTGTTGTTTTATCGTATGCTTTTATTTTAGCGGTATTAAAAGGTATGTTTTAGCAATATGTCTTCTCTTTTTTTCATCTACCTGTCTTTAAAAAAAAAATTCATATTAATTGGCGCCTTGAGTACCTAATAGTTGGTAGATATGTGCGCTATATAAGACTTGGCCATTATTATTATTATATTTCAGGCAATTTTAATTTTTTGATTAGTAGATTTTAGGTCAATCCTGTCAGTTTGCAGCTGTTTAATTCATTTTCATGTTTAAAATTTAAATATTCAAATTACTGATGAATCGTCCTTTAAGATGCGACCACATTGGTAGCTTTTACAGAACTTTAAAAAAAATGTTTTACCTATTGTTTTGTTTATAATTATATTTTGATGCAGGTGCAAATTATTAATGGGAAATGTACTTTTATTCCTTGTCTAAAAAAGAAAATATATATGCAAGTTTAACTGTGGAATGTCTGCATTAAATATTCAGTCCATACTAGAAAGTCTCTTGTTTATCTATTTTTTTCATTCTTATCATTTTTATTCATTGTGCAACTACCAGCATTCAAATTTTAAGAATTGACCTTTAATTAGAATAAAATTTTAAAATGTTTAACCAGCTTTTTAAATCTTTCACTATAAAAATGGTTAACATGGGCATTTGTGAAAGAGTGCCAATCATTTCTGGTGACTGTGGGGAGCCTTATACTTTGTGTGGGTTAGGTCAATTTAGTCAATTCATTCTTATAATTCCCGAATCGATGGTTGAGTAATTCCTATCATAAGAGCTGGAATACAGGCGAGTGGCCTGTAAAGATGAGAGATCCACAAGGCGCCTGGGTAGGCGAATAAATAACCTTCCAAATCACAGATCTGGTGTCAGGTCCCCATCCTTCCCCAGTCCCCCTTTAGGGGGGTCAGTCCGCTTGGGAGGTGTGAGGGTGTTCTTTTGGTGGTGTGCAAGTTCAGGCCTGGTGGTAGACTTCCGCCAAAACAGAACTGCAATCCCGACCGTAGAGGCTAGGCCGTTGGCCAATATTTGCTTCAAAAGCAAATGTACAAATGACAAAATGTATTCTATGTTTAAGTGCATACACAAATCGGTTTTTGTTTTGCAAGTTTTGTTCATGCATAAATATCACTGATGTATTGTTGAAACGGCATCATTGTATGGAAATGCTGAGTTCCTACCGATTCTCATTGTACAAGGTAACGGATCTGTAACTCAAATGACCACTGACAAAAGAAATTGGAGAAAGACCATTGAGACTGAAAATTATTATTTTATCTTCAACTTTAGAGTTTTTATTGCCAGCATTATCTTTATACGTGTTATCATAGTTTCCTCCAAGCTAAACTGCTACTACAAATCCTTTCAATTCGAAATATTGCCATATTAACACTGTCAATCTACATCTTTCAATACATTATACTACATGTATTCAAACTAAGTTGGATGAACGTTTTACAGTGGAAAGTCGCTATACCAAACATTCATCTATACTGAACACCGAATAGAAGGGAAATGCCACCCGTTGCTGTAGGTAGTATTAAGCACAAAAACTGTGTAATTACACGACTCAATAGTCGGAACGTGTTCAAAGTCTATTCATAAGATGGAATTTTGCGTCGGGGTGATGTAAATCAAATTAGCTTTTGCCCTTCACCGACGTGTAAACACTGTATACTCGGTGCGTTACCTCACGAGTGAAAGTTGGGGGAAAAAAACGTCCTTCAGTAACTACCAGGGCATGCAGGGTGAAGTTCTGAAGGGCGCTATTTATGGAGAAGAGAGTACCGGAGCATCGGCAGCTTAAAATCGCTATACCGAATGATCGCTATTACAAACAATTTCTGTGGATCCCGCGATGTTCGTTACAGCGGCGTTCTACTGTACCACTTTTATCTGAGTTCATCAGGAAAGATTCTTGCTGCCAAGTTATAAATATAAATAAGAAAAACAAGTTTCACAAAATAAATACTTTTTGGTAAACAGCTTCCATATTTTTGGTATTTTGACTGAAAACATGCAATTGAAAATATAGATAAAGAAAGGAGAGCTTATGTTATAATGAATTTCAACATGCAATAAAAAGTTATAAATAAACAAAATAAAGAGTGGTTTGGACCCTTCAGAAAAAAAAATCTGTATACAGCATCAACCATTTTGGAAACTTTAGTATGCAAATTGGATTTGTTTAAACCATTATTTTCTAGATATTGTAGGCCTATACAACCTTTATAGCACAAGATCTATGAGTTTAGTCAAATTTGCAATAAATCTATGAATGTGAACTTATAAAGGCAGAATACTTAGGTCATCAAAATAGACCAGCACAATTGGCGTACACGTACCAAAGGACGGATCCGTTAAGCCTTGCCAAATGCACATGTGTGCAACATGTGGACCTGTTCAATGCAACACTGTATGTTCCAACCATGCTCTCATGTACATGTGCACACATGTAAGACTTTTGTTAAACATTTTTCTGCACATAATGGTTTTGAATGATTAAAACGTAATGGAGCAGGGCTGAACAGATCTCTCCACTGTACAGGGTAAGGTCAAAAGAAACGAAACCCAAATGTCAGGACCATTGTTTTAGTGAAGTTCTGCATGTAGCACTTTCAAAATCTAGAATATAAAACCCCAATTCATAAGCTTGCTTTTAGTACAAGAATCATTCACATCACTCATGTACTTTTCAAGTTACAGGATTTTAAACACAACCGCCGTTTTAAGGTTCTGTCCATGGATCCCAAAAAGTTCAGTGTTCTTTCAAGCAAAACGAAAACAAATCACATATGGATGTGTGTGAATTGTTTTCGTTTTACTGAAAGAACGCACACCTTTTTAGTGATCCGTGGACAGAACTTTAAAATGGCAGTTGTGTTTAAAACCCCGTAACTTGAAAAGTACATGAGTGATGTGAATGATTCTTGTAATAAAAGAAAGCTTATGAATTGGGCTTTCATATTCTAGATTTTGAAAGTGCTACATGCAGAACTTCACTTAAACAATGGTCCCCGCATTTGGGTTTCGTTTTTTTACTCACCCTGTATTGACCAACAACTGTGTCAAAGAGTCAGCATGTCTCTTTAGAATGCCCACAATTTTCTTTTAACAGGCACATATTTGAAACAGAAATACCAACTGAGACCGCAAGTACTCTGTGTATAGATCATTAGCATTGCAGCTATATGTATCTTTCAGGTGCGTAGTTTGTAAAACAGCAGAGAGACCTCTTACACATTCATTGTGAAGGAATGAAATAATAGTAACACCTCACAGGTGGAAGTTGAATGCAAACAGCCTTTTACAAAAATTAAACTGGTTCAAACTTGGCCCACCCAACAAGATGGATCTCTCAAGCAAATGCCACCTCAAAATACAACAATGACGAACTTGAGGGAATATCATTCATATTTATAGTCCACTGATCACAGCCAAGGTTTTGAATGATCCAAATCTGACCACAAGTCTGCGTTTTTCTTCTCCATGTTCAATCAGATCTGCTTGCATCCGCTTGCCCGTCTCACTTCTTGAACTTGCCCTGTTTGCCGCTGGAAAAGTAGAAGTCAATCCCTCTGGTTTGCTGTCTCTGTCCTGGTCCCTTGCCACTCTTTCCCCTTTCCTGAAAAATGAAAACAAGTATTTTACGTTAATGCATTTTAATACTTTCTGGGTAAAGAAATCAAAGGTTCCTCAAGTGCACAGGTCACTGTAGCTTTGAAGCCTGAAGAAATGTGTAGGGAGAAGACAGTGGGGAAATGTTTGGTGTTTTTGAGGTGAGAGAAAAAACCCAAAATGATGGAAGATGCATGAAATTAGGGAGGGACTGAAGGAGTAATCCACATGTGGACCTGGGTTGGGTTTGAATCCAGGTAACAGGTGCAAAGCAAATAAGTAGCACCAGTCTTACTAAGGGCGGCCTCTGGTCAACCTGCGATTTGCTTGCATTGTGACGGAATCATTGGTATCAAGCAAAAAAAGTCATCCTCAGGTCACAAAACTGAGCCATTGTGTGATTCTCGTGGAACAAGTGTGATCTTGACGCAATTTCCTGGCACTACCGACCCGTTTGGCGATAGTAGGTGCATCATACATGAAGGCTAGCTATTTTTATGATGAAGCAACAATTAGTAAAAAATGTTTACATGTTTGGCTCGTAACTATGTGAGAGGTGTAGTAACTCAACAAACCATACAACTCACCTGAGGTCGCATGTGCTTGTTCCACTCGGGTGCCTTGACGACAGGCAGTGGGTAGCTGTGGCCTAGTCTGACATTAGCCTGAATGAGCATGGAGCTGCTGAGAATCCAGGGGGTGTGTACAGCACCTCCCTTAATGCCTTGCAATTCAGGTACCCATAGCCTCACATAGTCACCCTGCAGAAAAAGAATGGCAAAGTGAGTAGCTTGAATGAGCATGCAGCTGCTAGTAGTCCAGGGGTGTGTAAAGCACCTCCCTTGATACCTTGTAGGTCAGGTACCCATAGTCACTCCATGGAAAGAGAATGGAAAAGTGAGTAGCTTAAATGAGATTGGAGCTGCTGAGAGTCCAGGGGGCGTGAACAACACCTCCCTTAATGCCTTGTAGTTCAGGTACCCATAGCCTCACATAGTCACCCTGCAGAAAAAGAATGGCAAAGTGAGAAGCTGAACATGAAGCTGCTAGTAGTCCAGGGGGTGTGTACAGCACCTCCCTTGATACCTTGTAGTTCAGGTACCAGTAGTCACCCCATGGAAAAAGAATGGAAAGGTGAGTAGCTTAAATGAGATTGGAGTTGCTGAGAGTCCAGGGGGTGTGTACAGCACCTCTCTTAATGCCTTGTTATTCGTGTACCCATAGCCTCGCATAGTCTCCCCCACCACCACCACGGAATCAGAAGGTGAAGTGAGTGGTGATAATCAATAAATGAAGAGTCGTTGGGATACCAACCTGTGCATCATAGTCCAGTCCTTGTTTGATCATGTTGAACTTCCGGTCCTGTCTTGGATCGTTGCCAACTCCAGCGCAGTATAGCCAGTTGCCATAGTTACTGCACACATCATGATCAATCTGCCAACACCAACAAAAAAATGTCCCATAACGCGGTGCAGGCCTACCCAGTATGTGTTCACACATACACACACTGAAGTGGAATGCGTGTTAATATAACACTTGTTGCACTCAGGGCATGACGTTGCATCATGGAATTCAGGGCTGGGTTATGGCAGTGTGTGTTGTGGATATCAACTTAAGTCCGACTTGAGTCAAGTCTATTCTGAATGTCTCGCTCCTAATTAATAAGCTGAATCGAAAAAAATTGATAACTTGGTTTGGCCTAATATTTTTATTCAGTGTCTCATTGGAAAGTTCATATCCTTTGTAATGCTAACAAATGATCAATTCAATTAAAAATGTATTTTAAGAAGCATGGGGACCCTCTTTTACAAGTTCAACGTCTACTTACCAGCAGATGCTCAAACCACTCAGCTCCCAGCCTCCAATCCAGCTTGAGATCTTTGGTCAGGAAGCTAGCTACGTTCTGTCGTCCTCGGTTGGACATGAACCCAGTAGCGGCTAACTCTCTCATATTAGCATCGACAAAGGGGACCCCGGTCCGCCCTTCCCTCCAGGCATCAAAGAGGGCTTTATTCTCACGCCACTCTCTGTGGTTACCAAGGAGACCTGAGCAGACAAATTAATGGCCATGTTGGGGTCAGTTGGTATCATCTTTCATACATATTTATTAGCCCACGAACCTCTCTCATTGGCCAACTTTCGAACACATAATGAAATTGAAAATATATCCTTTCTGGCACCTCTATCACAATCTTTCAAACTTACAGACTTTGACTCAATCACAAGTCAATCCAATGTAATCCATAACAAGACAATCGCAAAACAACCACACGTTTAGTAGTCACAAGTCAATCACAAGTGAACCTCAGGTCAATCATAAGTCAATCACAAGTCAATCACAAGTCAATCATAAGTCAATCACAAGTCCGTCACAAGCAAAATTGCAAGTCGAGTTACAAGTCAAGTTTCGTAGGTTCCTGGACTACCAGCAAAGCTAATGCTGTATCCAGCTAATCACTTAGTCATAGCGTGTCATCATACGATTTCAAAGTATCATGTGACCATCCAATTACCCTGTGATTGGCCACCATTGCAGTAGGCAAGCGTTTGGTGAGCAACCACATCGTGCATTGTAAACTAGACAGTAGGGCTTATTTTCACTTCATTTTGCCGACTAAATGTTGATTCCGCATATTTCTCAGTTTTTGCCATCATCACAGCTTTGAAGTCTTGCCTACTACCTACTGTGTGTGGCGCTATATGATCTTTGCCTACTACAATGGCGATGCTGACTTTCTGGTACCTGTATGTAGGCCGGGTCACGTCGGTTAGTGAGGGAGCCATATACAATTTGGAAATAAAACATTGGGCTCCTATCAGGTCTGGTTAATTTGGGATACTGGAAGAGGGGTGGGGTGGGTGGTCAGAAATTAAAATATTACATGTTCTCACCGCTAAGGTAGAATAATCTGTCTCCGAACTTGAGGGCAACAAACTTGAAGTAATCCCTCCACAAAAGCTCAAACACGACCCTAAAAAAATAAAATAAAAAGAACCTAACGTCAACTGTATATGAATCCATGCAACTATATTGCTCACAGACTTACATCAAAGGAAAAAAAATTATTGCTAATTGTAAGTATGTAAACAGGTGACAACTTCCTTTGATTTTTTTTATTATGAAATTGAACCAAGATTCAGGAATACAAAGGGGTTTGAGAAAAATGCAAAGTATGGAGCAAAACAGAAGAGAGGGGCAATATAAACTCTAATCCAGAATAAAATTTGATTTTGACTATCCAAAAAGTTGATAAAGATCAGTTAAGTGTCTATTAAAGCCTCTTTGTTTTGGAAAGAAAAGTCTAAAATGTGCATGTACGTGCCCATTTATATGTGGCCTGACATTCTACAAACCATTCACAAACCATCGTTAGAATTATTTCATCCTAAAATGAGTCACTCAACATGCTGATTTACATACCAGTAAGTTGACTGGTTGGCTCTTCTTTCTTTCTCGTATTTCCGGATTTCTTCGTAGATTTTCCGCGGTGACAAACATCCTAGAGCTAACCTGTAAATTACAAACGGCAGTTGAATATTTCACACAACCACAAGAGGTATGCCAAAACCAAAACAAACCACAGTCTAAAATGTTTTGCTTTGTTTGCTTTTTGGGGTTTTTTTTTTTGGGGGGGGGGGGGCAGGGGATATTGGGGTACTCTTTGGGGGGGGGGGTTGGGGGGGGGGGGGTTTGAGGGGTCTGGGGGCTATTATGTGCCGTATATTCCAAATATTTAAATATTCAATCATCAAGGGAACTGAAAAGCTATTACTTTTTGATTCAAATATTTGACAACTGTGAGAGAGGTCTTGGGAGACGATGAAAAATGTTTCACTTGTGTCCTTTATTGTATGTCAATTGCCAACTTTTGATGACCAATTTATCGCACGATTTAAGAGCTTCCATGCGGAACATGATCTCAACTTTCAACCATACTGCTATCAACCATCATATATCTATCATATATATCAACCATACTGCTATCTGTTCTTATATTATAATAAGCCCTTTGTCAATTTTCGACAAAGGCCCAAGCACATGCGCATGCAGATACCAATAATGGCCAGTTTAGGCTAGAGCATGTTTGCCTGATCAATTCATTTCCAAAGTAACAATAATCGAATACTAAAGTATTTGAAAATGCACCACCCTAGTACTCCACTTGCTGCCAAACGCAGATGTTGTTAAGAGTAATTTGTGGTTTTGGGCACAATGAGATCAAAATAAGTTATGAATCAGATCCCTACGTGAAAAAAAGTTTTGTTTGGCCAAAAAGACAAATCAAGGTACACGAGTCCCTGTATATTCAAGGTGGACAGACCCCAATTATGTCAGCAGAAAAGTGCAGATATTCTTGCCAAAAAAAATAATAAATAGATAAATTTACAAATCATAATTAGGAAAATCATTTCCATCCTCAGAGAGTTTAATGCCTTCATTTGGCTTTGTATAAAAAGACGCATAGCGCCCTCAACTGATGTTGCACAAAGCCAATAACATATCTTACCAGGAGGAAAACTTAGTGGAGTAATCTGCCCCGATGAGGCCATTGCGTGTCTCCTTATACGATGAAACATAGTCCTATTCAAATAAGAAAAATAAAGATTAACAAAAGTATTGAACTTACCTGTCAAGTATGATTTAAGTTTATTGGTAGATGCTCTGTTTTAATAGATCTTGACATTGTCTCGTAAGTTCAAATGAACCTAAATTTTCCACAATGTTTTTGCCGAGGACAAATAGTCTGAAATTTGTAGAATAGTTTCAAGAATTGTGACCTGCCAATGAATGGGCACTTAAGTACAAATGTCAAACTTTTCGTCCCGAACAAAGAGATGATTTCAGATATTTTTGGGAGTTCATGATTAAAGAAAATGAAGAAATCTGACTCTATAAAGTTGTTCTTAAACTGGATGCTGTTTTCAAATTGTGGCAAAATTACCGTGAAAGACAATTTTTTTTAATGAAGGTGACTTGTTCTCAATTTTAATCGAGTCCTTTTGAAAGTAATTCAACCCTGGCATTTGCCAATTTAAGTGACGAAATTCTTAAATCTTCTTTCACCAAATGATTTACATATTATAAAGCTCTGATTGGACTCACATAATCCCAGAAATAATGCTGTATTCTTGCTAAGGCTTGCTTCTCCCCTCCGCTGTAAGGAAACGCAGTCCGTTCATCCCTCGCAGGATCTGTTAGTCAGACAAAAAAAAGAGAAAAAAGCAATCTGATCTAAATATATACACATCTTAAACAAATTACCACTTTTAAGGTTGTCCAAATGCTTTATATTCTCACAACAGCTTACTTTTCACTTCATGCACATTTAGGTGCCTTATGCATGCGCATACTGGTTTGCGCACATATAGCGCCAAGTATGCACAACTTGTTTTATTCCGAATGTACACAAAGCCATAGTGTCTTCGTGTGAGCATCAGGCGTCATCAGCAACGCGTTCCAATGTCTCTCCCAGTGGTCTCCCCCAACTCTCCCCTTCTTACCGTTGAGGGGGTACTTCTCCACAGAGCCCATACTCAGGAATTCAAATTTTTTGGGTAAGAATAGGTATGTTTTGACAAAAAAAATGTATGCTGAAAATATCCAGGTATTTTAAAATAGCAATCAGACCTGACAGTAAGTCTCAAGCCCGGTTCACACTTCATGCGAAAGCAAATGCGAAACGAAGTTGACATCATGAAACATTCGCTGCGAAATTCATCCAAGTCGAAATGTGTTCAACTTTTACGAATTCGCAGCACAAATACTTGCCATGACGTCAAAAATTCACGTTCGCTTTCGCTTGTGCGCCGAGTATGAACAGTGTGAATACTCAACCATTTTTTTTTTTCAGCTGAATATGTACAAAACTTTATATGGTCTTTATATGTGACAGGGACAATAATTACCGCACAGTGGCATTAGTATATTTGTTTATTTTACATCCGTATTTGCTAAAAAATATTGTATCGAAAGCATTGATGTTTGTAACATTGGAAACTTTCTTATCTTTAGTTTGATGTTTTTTAATGATACTAGTGAAAGTCTTTACAAAGGACTTATCCTTTGTTGAGACAAACATCTTCTTGCACATACCTTTCATTCCCATCTCCTCCACACTAGGGGCGTGGCCAGGATCTATCCCTGGTGGGAGGGGCTTCAGCTTACTGGGCATGGGCAGAGTGGGGCGCACATCTGACCGGTTCTCCGTCTTCTTGCGGAACTCGGTGAACACATTCGGCAAACTACAACGAGAGAAAAGACATTTGACATGACTTGGTTTCAATTTCGAATTAGACCACAGGAAAATTGAATGATTTTGTAAAGTTTCAATCTTAATGCAGTAAATTCCCCTTAAAAAGTGTAGTACAGTAGAACATCGATGTAACGCACAACGGAATACTGAACATTCGGCTATACCGAACGTCACCCTGTAGCTTCTGAATTTTATGTACAATTATACCAAATTTTTTCTAAATTCTATTAGTATCCCACCTCCAGACTACATTTAATAATTATGATGAAAAGCCAACTTTCTATTTATTAACCCTTACTCTCTGAGGGTAGTTTACTGCATGTCAGTTGGTTATGCCAATGCCCTCCAGCTGCAGTTATTTGGCAGATAACAAGTCTTAGCAGTGAAGGCTCCAATTGGCAGGAGTTGGAGGCCCTGGAGGGTGCCTGATACTGACCAGCTGGGGGCACTCACTTTGTTATCAGAGGACTCTCATTGTTCTCTGTGGCATGTATTGGAGTGCCTGTCCAGTTACCCTTGAAATGACATGGCAGATATTGGAGGGCCATGCAAAAAACATAGGAGATTTTCTTGAGGCACATATTGGCATGCGTTGGAGGGTCAAGTAGGGTAAGGGTTAATGATCAAATGTGTGTAACAGAGCAATATGAACATGATGGCACTTCACGACATGTGAAGCTGAATCCATCCTTTAATGTTACTCACAGGAAGTTACAAAGAGCGCAACCACTAGAACAATGCAAAAATATCTTTAACGTGCGTCTGATTTTTTGTTTCCTTTTAGATGGCACACTGCGATATACATTGAAGGTTGAATGCTGTTACAAAAAAGAATCTGCTAACTGAGCCAGTTTTTCACACTGATACAGAAAACCAGTGACCTGAATAAAAATCTCTGCATTTTTGAAAAATAATTCCTGTTTTTATTTATAAACCCCTTGAACTAAATTGATTTGAAAGAACTCAAGTTCAGGTATCATGCTGCCAATTGTTACTTTTCAAGAAGTAGTGGCAATGAAATGACGACTAAACAGCAACTTACTCTCTTATTCTGAAGGGAATATCATCTTTGTGGTAGAGCGTTGAACCCCAGAATTTGTGGACGGGAACCTGACAGGACTTCTCGATGGCAGCCTCTACGTCCAATTCTTCCCTTGTGGCCTAGAAGAGTAAAGAAAATGTTTCAGAGAAACTGAATTAGCCCTGACCGTCCATGGTACTTTGTCTAGCAACCCTGCCAAATGCATCGACATGCAACACTTGTCAGAGTAAGAAGCCTGCCCAGTGTAACATTACTCAACAGGGCAATTAACCTATCGCTGTAGAATCGCGTCAACGCAGCTTGTGAAACATTGTCCAATTACATGATATGTAAATGGATGTGGAATGCGCAACATCTGTGACAAACAAAACTTAACGTACCAAATTCCGCTGTAGTCTTTTAACAGAAATTTCAAATAGCTGCCTTTTTTTAGTGTCCAAGGGACTATTGGAGAAAGGCACTATGAACTCAAAAAAGGCTGAAATCTTTGTTTGGGTTCAATAAAAAGTGCAAAAACAAGGTCTGAAAATCTCCGACAAAAAGATTTTAAGCATAGCTATTGAATCTACCTCTTGTTGTAATGCTACAGCTTTCACATTCTCCTGGCCAAGTTGACGTATCAAGTCTTGAATGACGGTCTCTGGTTTGCCTCTACTGATGACAAGATTGCTATTTGGGAAGACATACAATTCAAAAAAAGTTTGTAAGTTTTTTTCACCTGGATGTACTGAGCAATATTTTCAAGATTTGTATTTGCTTGGCAGTCTCATGACATTAATTCACTGTTAAAGTTCCCATGGCTAGTAATGCAAGATATTTGTTAAGTGTTTTTCCTTCACGTTGCCTCTCTCTGGATTTCTAGATCCCAAATCTCGCTTCCCTTTTACCTCAAATCCTTGGCAATTCATACCAAGTGTGAGCATTGTCTCTGTCACTATATCTTTTTAGTTTATAACCAAAACATTATGTGGTTCCTGGCCTTGTGTTCAGGAATACTTGTACAAAAAAATACTATTGGCAATTTCAGCATCACGAACATCACTAATCAGAGCTCAGTGAAGAAACCTAAAAACATATTTTTCATTAGTTAAGTTTTCAAATCTTACAATCCATCATCAAGGAGAAAACAAACTAGCAGTTTTGGATTTATTTCCATTACACCTACATTCCTTTTTCATTGGAACCCATCTTGGAGGCACAGGGATATGCATTTAGTTCAGTGTTACAAGAATTTAAAATAACAAAACAGCCCTCTCTAAGGCCAAAAAAAAAGTCTCCGGTTTCTGGTATGGAGCTTGCCCAAAAAGTGGTGCGGCGACGCAGCTTTTTTTTTTTTTTTACCTGTCTTTTTGCTTCAAATGTCGGCTGATTACTGCAAATTGTGCCCGACTAAACTTAGTGCAAATATATGGGAGTCCGGAGAGGCCACATAAAGCTTATTCTCGATCATAACCCCATCTAAAAACACGTTAAAATTGTGCAGCAGCAGGATTCCAGTCACACCATTGAGTTTGGCGGTTTTGAGACATCATCTTTTATTGAAAAAAAAACTTTTTCATTTTGCCAACGCACTTGGCTACGGCGACGCGCGCGCATACCAGAAACCGGAGACTTTTTTTTTTTGGCCTAAGATGCCTGCTATGCAAAGAATCTATAAGCTGGAACAGAGTTAGCCAAATCTCACCTGCCAACTTGACGAAGAGTTTCTTTCAGATCTCGAAGGCTTTCTAGCAAGAACTTGAGTCGATGGGGACCAGTCTTTGGGAAAGAGAAGTGCCACGTGCCATGGTAGTGACGGGGATCTAGACAATACAGTGGAAGGATGTAGTCTGCATTCTGATGGGCCCAGTGGAGAACCTAGGTTAGGAAAACAGATCATTAGGGGAGAAGAAGGGTCAGGGAGTTCAACTATTTCAGCAGAATGTTGGTCAACAACAAATCTACCATACGTTTTGAAGTACAAATCTATGTGACTCCCTTTTACCATTCGAAATGCACTTGTGTTTACAAACGTGATTCAGTCTACTCATTATCATAATCCATGCATTGCGCACACGCGCTCGGTAACGGAATCGCACTCGGGATACGGGGACTATCAAATTTACCAGGAATGTACACTGGGAATGAAGACCACATCGCGTCGTTCAAACATTAACACGAGTCGGAAATTTATCGTGTTCACGATCGCGAGGGGAGCTCGCGCTCTCGAAATTGAACGGGAAATTTCACTTTTCATCCGGATCGTAAGTAAACTTCAGTACAACCATCTTAATCATCGATGTCTACTTGTACCTCAGGTGGCGTATCTACATGATCTAGTAATTTGGAGGCCGTTTTGAGGGTGAAATCTGATGTTTTTGGGGGGCAATGTTGGGTTTTGGGTCAAGGACAAAATTGTGTTGCTCAGCATATACAGATTAGCTTGGACCCTACTATCGCCAGACCATGTCCGAATGTTATAAAAGGAGATCAGTTGGGTCCAAGTTACTCGGAGTAACATGTAGTAATGATGTACATACATGTAGGCCTATGCGGAAAATGTTGCAACCTGAACCTGACGCCGATTTGTTGGAGAGACAAGAAAACTTTAATCTTGGCACTTGGGTAGCTGGAGTTACCCAGCCCTGAGTTTTATCATTGGGTTGTCTATTAGGGCTGGAGCAAATTTTTCTCAAAACTTGTAGTATTTGCAAAAAAAATTTGAAAAATGTTCAATTTTGTCCCCATTACACACTAATTGCAACTGCAACTCACCCCAAACTTGCCTGGAATAACCATTACACAGGTCCTTGAAGTAAAAAACGATCCACGATGAAGATTCAGCCTCCAATTGCAGTGAAAACAGGAGGAATAACCGCTAACTTGACAACCTTGCTGGATTGGCCAGGACCGGTATTGGTTTGTGCACAAAAAAAATTGTGTACAATGAATGGCGGTCGATTACCATGCACGTACAGCTCGCTGGTACTAGGCGTTTTTGCGGTCGGTGCATGACGTGACGCGGAAGCGTAATACCCGATGACTGTTTCATGCATTAATAAGAGGTTCACTCGCATCACAGTGCGGTACTGGAACGGCAACCGTCGAGTTGGCCGGCTATCGTGCATTCATAGTGCAGTGTTACTGCCGTTCCAGTACCGCACTGTGATGCGAGTGAACCTCTTATTAATGCATGAAACAGTCATCGGGTATTACGCTTCGCGTCACGTCATGCACCGACCGCAAAAACGCCTAGTACCAGCGAGCTGTACGTGCATGGTAATCGACCGCCATTCATTGTACACAATTTTTTTTGTGCACAAACCAATAGCGGTCCTGGCCAATCCAGCAAGGTTGTCAAGTTAGCGGTTATTCCTCCTGTTTTCACTGCAATTGGAGGCTGAATCTTCATCGTGGATCGTTTTTTACTTCAAGGACCTGTGTAATGGTTATTCCAGGCAAGTTTGGGGTGAGTTGCAGTTGCAATTAGTGTGTAATGGGGACAAAATTGAACATTTTTCAAATTTTTTTTGCAAATACTACAAGTTTTGAGAAAAATTTGCTCCAGCCCTAATAGACAACCCAATGATAAAACTCAGGGCTGGGTAACTCCAGCTAGCACTTGGGCCTAATTTTTCTCAGACTCAGTCCCAGATTCTTGTCTTATCATCATTTTTCATTGAGATGATATATGAAGAAAAAGTGGTGTCAGGTTGAAACAATTTTTCAAAAAAAATCAGGCTAGTACATTCTGCCCCAAGCGCCCCAGCCATATCCCCGCGTCATGGAAATTTCCAGGGTAGCTGTGGAAAATGTTGGGAACTGCAGCCATCCCCAATTTCCGATCGCGCGCGCATAACTTAAGCCCAAGAATTGCTATTTCTTCAGAAACGTTGGAGTATAAATGTCACTTCTCACCTCATTGTCGTGATACCGCAGGTCGTTTCTCAGAAGACAAATTACAGTCCTGTATTTAGTCGCCATTTCTTCGAAAGAAATACCACACTAGTGCTCGACCCCTCGACTCACACAAGTTTGTTCAGCTGGAGTATGCAAAGTGATTACGTACGTGACATTCGCTCGATTCACCTTGCGCTCATCTCCATCGTACGATGTTTTGAGTTCAGAGGTTGGAAGTGCACCGCGCCGCTAGGTACTAGACCAATCCTCAAACAATATAATTGGAGAATTGGAACCAGTCTATAGCTCTTTTTTTTTACACTCACGTGTACGTGTTTTACCGTCCAGTGCATATGCAGTGGGGAAAGGGGGAGTTACGTAATGGTTGATGAAACTTAAGTTGATCTGCTTTTCTTAGTTTAGATCGTAACCCGGGGTCGGCTTCAACGTACTCTCCCAAAAAGTACATTTTCTTTAGTTTAGATTGCTTGTAGTATTAAAAGTAATGTTATCAGTTACCTCATTATTATTAATGAGAAATTATTGAACGATTGCTAATACTAGACACACGCACCCACGTCCACGTTCAAAAAATGATGTTGCCGAAGCTCAAAATAGAAGCAAAACTTTTGTTTGTTAAAAAATTTGAAATAGAATATACAATTTGAAGTTGATTTTTACGGGGGGGGGGGGAGTTCGTGAAAAGGGCACTTGCACGTCCGTGCTGAAATTAGAGGGGGATGGGGGGCGGGGCATGTACCGTCTTTTAATTGGGGTGCTGTTCAAAACTGCATGGCGATTATGCACACTATTATGATCGCTATCTGACACTAAACAGGGCGGCAAGATTTCCACGAAATTACACAAAGGGCACCGGCGTCCAAGCCCACTGGTGTTTTTACAAAAAAAGGGCAATTGTTCAAAAAAAAGGGCACTTGTTTATAAAAAAAAAGGCACTAAAATAAAAAGGGCACTCTGCACATATGGGGGGGGGACGCCGATGGAAAAAGGGTACTGTAATTGAATGGAAAAGGGCAGTCTGTACAGAATATTGAGGGAGGGAAATACCCCCTTACCCCCCCCCCCCCCCCCCCCCCACACACACACACACCCACCCCCACACCCACCAAATACCAACAGTTGTTTAACTTTGCTATTACCATTGCAACATAACGTTATTCACTTTTTGAATGCGACATCGAACACAAAACAATCAATTGGCCCACGTTTTGTTATGGAACGATTTCTTTACAATTTAGGAATTCTTTTCAGCCTGACAATAATTCAGTTAACTGGTTCCGGCCAGTCATGTCGGCCTATATATACATCATCATCGTAGGGCGGGACGCGTAATTTTTTTTCCTAGGAGGGTTAAAGGCAATGTCATGAATAATTCAGTTTTTCCTTTGATTCATTGCAAGACTTAGGTTCTCGTTCTATTTTCCCATTAATTTAAAATTATCTCAGTGATAAATTTGGAGAAGAAAAATAGCTGATGAAAATGAGCAGCGACGACGTGGATTCGAACCAGGGATCTTTGTATCCATAGCTCATCTCGCTATCCACTAGGCTACTGTGTGGTAGCTAGACGACAACCGTTCTTTAAAATGCTTTAATGTATTTTAACTAGTTGAGTAACTAACAACAATGCTGTTGATGTCATTGTCCGTTCTCATGGATAAACATGAATTATTCATGACATTGCCCCTAACCCTCCTAGGAATAAAAAATTACGCGGGCAGCGTTATAGGCGCGAATAAATAGTGGATTTTTTTGTGTGCACTTTGGAGAAACCGAATCCGGGAAGCCTATAAGCGTTGCAGACACCCAACATAAAATGTAAATAGAAATTAACTAATTAAAAATCGTTCTTGATAAATCGAGGCATAAGGTTGTAACGCCCTCTGATCTAGGCTATAATCCCCAAAATTTGACAGCATGGTTTTAATTTAAATTAAAAATGACCAAAAACTGTTTCCTTTAACCATACAATTTGAAGTATATTTTAATATTGTCGCACAAAACAAAATATTTTGATTGTATACATCCCTGTCCCATTCCTGGCCCGTTACCATATGGACAGGATTGCAATATTTTATGTTTAAAATCTGGATGGATGAGGGGTAATCTGGTACAATTTCTACAAGGTATGCAACAAATATTGTTTATTAAGCGCTTAAGCAAATGCCATACGCTATGTAAAACCAACTCATTTTTGGGCTGAGGGTGGGTCGGTAGCGACGTCCCTCGAGACCAAAATAATTAGGGGACATGTGGCATGCCTACCCCTCCTCCCAAACCCCAAACATGCCAACACCCCCCCCCCCCACCCCCCTTACCCTGCAAAAAAATATGAATAAAGGAATAGCCGTCACAATCGTTATACCACTGATTTCGAATTGCGCCCTCAAGAAGAGCATGGCCAGGCACCAAGTAAAACGCGTTTGTTTATGGTGTAAATCGAGGACACAAGTCATGTGCGACATCGGTGAATCGAGGACAGAAACCAAATCGAGGACGACCTCGATTAGAAAACGGGTACAGAACCAATGACAGGTGTTGCACAAAAGTTAGTGTACAAAAGGGAAAAGGGAAGAGGAACAAAAGAAAATCCTCGATTTACACCATAAACAAACGTGCTAGAATTAAGTGTGTCTGTGTATTTCTCCCGTCCCGTCAAAATAATGAAGTCTATAGACTTTTTTTGTTTTCAAAACGCGATATATCCATAATGAACAAAAGTGAAAAAAAGTCCACGTTTATAAAACTTTTCAGAGTAAGAACAGTACGACAGCTGTTTCTCAACTTCACTTTTCGCTTCATTTATTTATTAACTGGTGTTTAATAACATAAAAACTGTCGAAACATGACTTCAGGCAGAATTCAAAAAGGTTACAAAAGGGGTTTATAGTCAAGGGGTTTATAGTCAGCTTTAATGTGCAAAACATAAACGTGACCAACATACTAAAACTGTCTGTACTGTCTCTTTGTTCGTTTAGTCAATTATTGTTAATTTCGTGTGTTGATCCAGTGTTTCCTTTACATTCTAATGATTTTTTTTTCATATATGCCTATAATGCCTTCACGTTTTCGTATTTTGTGCAACCCACAATCATTCCCCGTGTCTGTCGTCTGTCTTACAACGGAGCTATGGAGGACGGTATCCACGATGTGGAGATATTGAAATATAAGTCATCACGGGATGACAACATCTAAAATGTAAGATGTCGACATATCCCGGGATAATATAACATGGGATGACGACATCCTGAAAGTAGGAGGCGACATATCCTGAGATAATTTTGCACGTGATGACGACATACAAAATATGATGATCGACATCATGAAAAGTGAATCATTGACATTGGGTCAACATCGTAAAAATTGGAAATCGACATCTCAGAATCTCAGAAGGGTGACCAGACATCGCGCTATATATGCATCATTGTTTAGACTTCCTACGTTTAGGATGCGTCATCAATAAAAGATTGTCCAAGACTGAATATAATGTATGCATGATAAATTATTATGATAGTGAAGTTGACGGAAAAAACTTTCATCGTCACAAGAGGGCGTCATAACAGTCTGACTTAAGCTTTCGCTACTCGAATTCGAAGATGGCCACCTTTGACGAAGACAGTGCAGCGTAGCATTCTTAAATACTTCCACTCCGAGCTGGATCTTGAGCCTCATCTGGACCAGAAAGCCGCTGAAAGGGAAAGACCCTGCCACAGTCTTGGATCAGGTACGTGAATAGCACTCGAAAAGCCCTTTTAACGACACAACAATAGGCTTGTTTCGGAGCCCATACTTTCCCTTTCTTTGGTGTTTAGTCGACCGTGTAAATCATAATCGACCCGTGTGTGTGCTGTGTACGGTGCTCAATGGCCACGCACGCGACCTTTCTAATTTGATTCACGTTCGCGAAGAATGGGCTACGCGTCTGTATGTACTGTATCTACTAGGCCCGTAATTTGCTCGCAGGAAGGAGCCATTAACGAAAGAATAATGAATTAAAGATAAAGAGTATGGTGTTGTCCCGCCAGTTATAAGCGTGATAATGAGGCATTCATAAAACAGAGTGCCACAAAAAAACCTACCAAACCAATTCAACCGACCTTGGCAACATCATTAATAATAATTCATTTGAAAATATTTTGAAGTGACTAGGGAGGCTTTATCATTATTTAAGGCATTTAATCCATCATCCATGCTATCCTTAAAAAAAATGCATTAAAGAAATTACTTACAACTAATAAAGAACACCATATTTTTACTACTAATAAGTAATTTAGGCCAAGTGAAATTTGTATATTTTTTGCTTCAGAAATTTGGGTAGGCCTATGGTATGGGGCTTTTTTCATTTGTTAAATTAGTAATTTTTTTTTAAAATTCTTTCTTCGACTGAGTTTTCAGAAGACTTTATATTACGTTTCAAGTTAAGATTGACGAATGGCTGTTTTGACATTGCATCATGATCTTGATAAATGTTGACATTTTACAAAGGTATGTTATCATTTTTGAAGTTGCTTTTGTGTAAAATAATTTTTTTTTTTTTATAAAATAATGAAATTTTAGGCTAATAATAGAATCATGGGGATGCAGATTTTGAATGCAAATTTATGAATTTCATTCTTATGGCATTAGGCTTGGACATTGCTCCACACTCGACGAACTCAATTTGGTCTTTTATTTGAGTCTGTGGACTAAAGGAGTTTTTAAAATTTAACTTAATTTATATCAATTTTTTTGGGGGGTGGGAGTGGTAAGTAATGTTAAATGATTAGCATTCTAGTAGTAGCAATGCAATTTGAAAGTGTCTATTCTAAACCAAGAACATAAGGGGTAGAATTAATTTGTGCTCTGTATTCATGGAAATGTAAGGGGAAAGATACATTGATTAATGTGAAGTAGTTCACATTTTCATCAATAAATGTCATTTCTCAAACTTTAGTAGTTCTACTGATTATTGTTTATATTTTTCCCCACAAACCATTTGTCACACCCTGATAATGGTAATTGGTTGCCTCACAGAAACACCATGGCAAAAACATCACTCACTGGTGAGGATGAATAATTTAACACCATATACAAAAATCAACACATTGGATCTGGATGTGCTCTGTGATCAGACATGGGTCATATGGCAGCTGCCTAAGGCAC